AAGATAGAGCACTTTTCATATAGCTGGGTGACTAGGGTCTCGAGATACAGACCAAAACGTGGACCTGGGTAAACTTAGGCTGTATTTGTTTAATATGGGCATAAAATGAAAGCTGTTATGTCAAAAATATGCGGAAGCAAATAAAAAAAAATTAAAAAATTCATGAATACCGTTTTTGTGAAAAATAAAATTGTGTAATGCGGACAGTTCTTTAATCTTCTTTAATATAAAAATTAATATAAAAATAAGTAGGGTTTTCCTTCCTGACGCTATAACTCCAGAACGCACGAACCGATTTCCACGGTTTTGCATTCGTTGGAGGTTTATAGCTAAGAAAATTCAGGAAAAATTTCAATAGAAAAGTATATGGTGTGTGAGTATCCCTCACGAAAATAAGTATGTTTCATGTAATTTTGTTTTGTTACTCCCTCTCACAACATTTGAAAATATTAGTTAATATTGCTGTACATATTTGTATAGTAGCGAGATTTTTTCAAATTATATAAATATACGTTATTTGAATATTGAATCAATACACGTTTGAGGAAAGGGTGCGATAGTAGACTCCAGTTATAAGATTATAAATTAAATTTCCAAGAGAAAGTCGGTTCTTTACATATTTTCTAATTACCTTTGAAAATATATTAACTCAAAAAAAAAAATAAACAATGCTTCATAGATCGATTTGTTTTAAATCTAACTTCATAAAGTTCTTTAAAAATATTTTGTAAATGAGGCCATAAGAGCTTAGGGGAGAGTTACAACACAAAAATACATTTAAGGCGCAGCGAATCACGCCGGGTAATTGCTAGTATATATATATATTTAAGATTATCGTAAATTTCTTAATGATCAAATGATCGGATTTAAACCAAATTAGTATGGGACCACCTGTGAAGTAACACTTTTCCTATAAAACAAAAAGAATTATAGAAATCGGTTAACGTGGTCCAAAGTTATGCGGTAACATACATAAAAAAGTTCAAAATTTTTATGGAAATTTTATGCATTTTTCTAGAGTTTGTATTAAGTTTGAAAGTTTGAATTAACTTTATGGTTTTGGCTATAGCATGGAAAATATTTTTTAAAAATATAACAAAAAAATTACTTGGAAAACATTGTAAATATTTAAAATAAAATCACCATGCACTCAGTTTTGATCGGCAGTGTAACTTTGTTTTGTTCAAATCATATATGTAATACTTGTATATTGGCAGTAACCCTGCAAACCAAAGTTCCCGAAATCTTAAGGAAATCGTTAGGAGTATATCATTTCTGTAACGATTTTTTTACGAATTTTCAAAGAAAATTATATGAAGTGGTAAGAAATTTCTGTACGAAAAATAAAAAAAAATTCTGGAAAAATTCTGAAAGATATTCTTCACATAGCACCATTATTTTCGTTGCTTCACAGATTTTCTTCCGAAATTTCGTAAAAGAATGGAAGTGTGCGTAATTTATTTCATTTTGGAAAATTCGGCAAAAAATCGAATTAAATCTTAAGGAATCCTTTAAAATGTCTTTATAATGCAGAATACTCTGAAAAAATGGTTTGCAGGGAAGCATATCGCACTTTTAAAAATATAGAAAATTATTTCCAAATCTCAATTTTGGGGGAAAACGCAAAGTTTAATCAATTCATATAATTGGTATGCAAAAAGACAGATGGAAAGACACAAATCTTCGCGTTTGTGGGAAGTTTAGTTATCTGTTAGACCGAACTAATTCAACTTATCAACTTTATTGATTGTATGATGCAATACCCAAAAACTACAATTTTGAACGTGCGATAAGTACATTCACTGGCAATCAAAAGTGAGAGCATGGTGTTTTTTGTTTAGGTAATATTTGCAATGTTCGAGTTGAAATTTTTTTGTTATTTTTTTTATAAAAATATAGTTAATGCTTTAATCAAAACCACATAAATCAAACTTTATACAGAACTTAGAAAAATTCAACGAATTTTCATAAAATTTCTTGGTAGGGTAGTCCAGTTAGCTTGAAAAACATTGCAAATGCCTGTGTACATGCATAGAAACATACATATGTATGTACATATTTGTTTATTAAACAACTAAATTAGAGAAGAGCGAACGTAATAGGAAAAATTTGATGGCATATATAATAATATTCCACATAAAATTGATAGCATCTCAATTCGTAGAATCGTTTTATGAATTAGCATTTTGGGTCAAAAGTAAAAGAATGATAACTTCGTCCATGGATTGTATCGCTAGCTTTGAATAGTCTCATTGATAATATTTTAAGAATTGGTTTGTATCAAGGCACATTAAATGAGCCTTTGTGTGTATTAATAGGTGTTTACTCTTGTATGCCTTTTATAAGGATGACTATATCTTACAACAATTTTTGCTTATTGCACGGCGATAACCCAAAATGGAGCACCGTTAGTTCGGCAGCTAGGAGCCGTTTTTCAGTTCGAAAATTGGAAATTAGCTGTCCAAGTAAGGTACATACTCACATAACTCGTTACACCAAATACAGACTCTCCCAACGTTCAAAAATTTTATGTTTGAATTTATTTAATCTAGAGTCAAACATTTTAGTTTTTTATGCATTTTCCCATGACGTTAAAAAAAATCCGGTCTTAAAAAAATACCTTTTAATCGATCAATCACATTTATGCAAATAAATCGGAGAAGTTTCTTTTTAATCTTATGTTGGAGAATGATCAATTCCAAAGTTATGTGGTGAAACTGGAGAAAATACCTCTTTACTTTGGATTTTATTCCACGTATTATCAAACTACACGAAATGTATGCTTATTATTTTGATTCAATTGAATAGGCACAGTGGCTTTAACACAAAAACCAACAAAAGCATCCATTCATTTTAATTCTAAAATTTTCCGACGAACTGATAACCACCTCCTTTTTTGGAAGTCGGTTAAAAACAAACCTGCTGCAGTAGCCAGTTGTTCTCGAGGCAGATGAAGCTCCGTCTCGTCGATGCCCGGTGGTTGTGTGCCTAGAACGGCATTCACAGGTCTGGAGTCTATATAACTCGAGACTGACTCCCTGTGAATGCCGTTCAGGGCCTGTCGATATGCTGATAGGTCCAGAGGCTACTTAATGAACCTCTGGACTTCGTCCGTCAGTTCGTAGAGATGCCTGCTGACGTGCCTGCGCGAGGGCTCTTTTGCAAGCAGCTGCCCATTCGGATGACCACGTCTATGGCTCCCAACCAGAAACTGCTTACAGAGCATTGCATTTTTGCCTCGTCGTGCAGGTGGTCGGCAGCTTCATCCAGTGCGTCCTACTAGTCCCCGCGACCGGCTGGTGCTGCGTAATTTAAAACCGACCGGCCTATTGCCTTGTATGTTGCCAGCGACGTTTCTTTGTCTTTTCCTCAAGTACTGCCGGCTAGCGACCTGGAGGACCTTGTTGCGGCTCTGTACTTTGTTGACTTCGTAAAGGACTTTTGTTATCTCCGTCTAGCTTTTGTGTTCTGACTCCAATTCATGCTTTGTTCATGCGAACTGTCGGCTTCAGCTGTCAAAAACATTAGCATTTTTCTTCGGCTTCATTTCCAACAAATCGCCTGCAGAGTCCTGGATCCGCAAAGCCCTCCATTTATGCATTTTTTGCAGTTGCAAGTGCACCTGTTTCGCCAGTTCTTGCTGTTATAGGTTTAATAAATTTGCTATGCACATAATAAGGCTATGGCATCCTTATACTTCAAGTGGATAAAAATTGAAAGAATAATTTTCTTGTAGTTTTATAAAAAGTAAAATAATATCCAAAGTAAAGGTACTGGCCCAATCCTGCCTTGCTTTGATTGCTTTGCTGCGAGAAGTGTCAAAAATGATTTGGAATATACTAAAACGTATACAGGCTGGCCAAATGGCAGCCTTTCTTGACTTTCTTTAACCGCAAATTTGAAAGTGTTTTGTAGGCCTTTGACAAAGAGGTATGTTCCCGTTCAAAAAACATAAATTCAAACAAAAATTTACTTACTTAATTTTAAAAAAAGTCACAGAAAATGCAAACAATTCGAAATGAAATAAAAATGGTTCGCTGTTTCCATATTTATATTTAACATTATAGTACAAATTTTACATGAAAGGAAAACAAATTTATCACTCTTTTCTTCAAGTAAATCGCTTTTTTAAGCTGTAATTTTTTTAGTAAATGTAGATATACATATGTATCATTATTACCATTTCTTTTAAATACCAACATTATTTCGTATTAATTTAAAAATAAATTTGAAAGTTTTTGATAAATTTTTTAGAGTTTTCTAGGAAAATAATTATTAGTGTTATGGGAACAGCCATTGACTTTTCAACCAGACAGCTGGTTACTTTGACAGCGTTCCTAGCCGCCATTCGGCCAAACAAGTTTTCAAAGAAATCAAAGCAAATTAAAGTCAGCAAGGCGCGCAAAGCAAGCCTGCATTGGGCCAGCCAGCGCCTTAATCAAAGGGTTTTCTTCATTTTCACCACTTTTCTTCAAAATTAAGCATTCTTCAAAACAAGATCAAATAGAAACTTCTCTGATGCCCACAAATCCAGATATAAGCTTGGGTCTTGAGGAAAATATGCGTACCTATTCAAGCGAATCAGGCTGTATGTTCTACAAACTTTTTTCTATCGTATTAATACCGACCTGGTCTAATGTATGTAGGTATACACGTATAGTATGTAGTTCATATGTATATGCTATGTATATTTATGCGATATAAAATATAATTTTTGTAACTTACGTGTGTTTCATATACGGGCCGAGCCATTACTTAACAAATATTTTTAAAAATTCGCTGATTCAATTAGCGCACGGTAACATCTCAGGTATCTAATAAGTCAGAACAGCTGAAGCAGCCAAGGTAGTCACAATATTACAAGCTCACTGCTGATAAGTGAATTATAGTATTTCCATACAATTTCGTAGTTTTGGTTAGTTTCACCTGTCGCCGAATTAGTCTTTATTCAAAATCGAGCGGGGCAAATAGCGTATGTAATTAGAATAACTTATTGATTTTAAACAGGAATTCAGTTATGTAATTATGCATCCGTTTTTATTATCTTCAATTTAGCAATCCATTCCGTCAGCTATTGTTATGAATTACGGAGACTTCAGTTTCCAACAGAACATCCATTTACCAATTATAATTTAATAAAAACAGAAAATATCTCTTCAATATGGAATGAAAGAGAGATGGAAAATCACAACTGTTGGTTACCGAGTAGCGATGTTGATGTCAGCAAGAGCAGTGGTCGTATTATTACCGAAAAACTTCGTTGACTTATACTCTGCTAACGGGGGCGGAAAATATTTACATAGTATTAATGGCACGTTCCTTGTTGCCGTTGCTTTTCAATTTTTTTATCTTCTGTTCTGTTGTACATGTAAATTTCCACTAAAGGATAAGAATAGTTTTTCGTTCTATAAGAATATGTATATACATAGTATGTACATACTTACATGCATATGTTCATATTCATAACATACTGCTACTTACAGAGTTGAGCGTACTTGTTTTTTTCCATAAAACAAAAATCTAAGAATACTTTATATGGAAAAAATGCGTACCTAGGTCAGAAAATAATTCTCAAAAATGAACCCGAATTTTTAGACATTTGAAATTCGCATATTATTATACTAAAACCGACTTAAAAAAAACATATATATATCAATATATTTCATGATTCAATGATCGGATCTAAACCAAATTAGTATGGGACCACCTGAGACGCTACCTTTCCGTTGCAAAAGAAAAGAATTATCGAAATCGGTTGACGTGGTCCAAAATTATGCGGTAACATACATAAAAAAAATAAATAAAAATATTCCGACGAACTGATAACCCCCTCCTTTTTTGGAAGTCGGTTAAAAATGGCTATAAAACTGCATAGGTA